GGTCGGGTAGCGGGTATAATAAAACCATGCGAACCGCCAGTCAGGGAACACTCCAAACTCCCGAACGGTACCTGTACGGCTAATTCCCTTCACGAGCTGCAAATCCACGAACGGCAATTAGTAACCGAACGACAATATCTCCCAAGCGGCAAATAATCCAAATAAGCAGTCTCTCGCCGCTGGTATCCAAATCCCCCCAATAACGAGACCAAGCTCCGCTTTGAGGGTAAAACACGAACTGATTTACTGTGGGCTACCTGCCCGGTATTTATGCAGGTCTCCCACTTGGTGGACACTCCCCTAGGGGACCAAATGGGAGACTGAAATCACAGAGGGACATGGGGACATTTTGGACATACATCCCCACAATATTCCCAGCATGCATCACAGTTCCCTCCCCTCTGCTCGAGGGATAATTGGGAAGTAACTCAATTATCTCCCCGAGCAGAGGCAATCGCCATTTTAAACACAAGTCACAAAAACACATGAAAATCCATAACTTCATAACTGCCGAACATATTACATTCGTATTGCATATCCCCAGATAGCCTGGATCTGAGGGCACATTATTGAAGAATAGCGCTCAGATCCCATTCGCACAGTTCAATCGCCATGGAGTCAAAGTCTCTTTCAGTTCGTCGGTATGCGATTGACTCCATGGGACGGCTATCTGGGTTAAGTCCATTCGTGTGGTTGAATCTCCCGAACGGCTGGCATTCGTATGCTTTTGTCGATTGAGAAGGGGAGGTCGACGGCTTCAGCGGTGTTCGGCTGAAAAAGTGTCCGTTTTCCAATCCATGAAATAATCGTCGAACACCGCTGGTCGTTCGCATGGACAAAATGGCCGCCGCCTCGTGGTCGACATACGAACGACGACCACCCGGCATTCGGTTTTAATTGAGAAGTGTCTGTGGTTAACCGCAACGTTCTAATTGGGATCAATAGGTTAACCAGCAGCACACTTCTCTTCTGGGTGGCCATCCGTTCGGTAGTTCCGTTCGACAAAAGCCGACATTCCCTTGAATAAAGCATACGAATGGGGAAATTCATGTAACCGGCAAAACAGGCGAACACAGCATTTATAATCCAGACAGATGGGTCTGTCACAGAGGGACACAATTTACCTCCAAATTCTGGAAAGAGATGTGTTCCTCCCTTCAAATTCAACGCAAACTCTCATCCGCCTATCATCCCCAAACTAATGGGCAAACGGAGAGGGTCAATCAATGCTTGGAACAGTATCTGCGATGTTATTGTTCATACTTACAAGATGACTGGACCACATGGTTACCTATGGCTGAATTTTCTTATAACAATTCTATTCACACCAGTACGAAAATGACTCCCTTCTTCTCGAACTATGGGTTCCATCCATCTTCATTTCCCATCCAAACCATTGCTTCATCCAATCCTACTGTTTCATGCAGAAACGATTTTATGTCCTCCCTATTTCTCAAATTACGGGAGAATCTTCAACTCGCTTTAAATAACCAGAAAAAGTTTTTTGACAATAAAAGAAAAATTCCACCTAATTACAAAATAGGAGATCGTGTCTGGCTCTCTTCAAGAAATATAACCACCAACCGCCCCTCAAAAAAATTGAGCTCTCTCTTTCTTGGTCCTTTTCAAGTAATAGCAGTAATCAATGATAACGTTGTTAAACTAAAACTTCCTCCAAGTTTCAAACTTCATCCAGTATTCCATGTCTCCTTGCTTAAACCACATATCCCCGATCCTTTCAATAGGGAAGTAGTGACATCTCCTGAACCTGTCATTGTCCACGGTGAAGAGGAATATGAAATACATAAGATTTTGGATTCACGTATCCACCGTGGCTCCCTACAATACCTTATTAGATGGAAAGGTTATGGGGTTGATGAAGACACTTGGGAAGATTCATCTGTTATTCATGCAAATAGATTGGTTGCTGCATTCCACAGGCGCTACTCCTCCAAACCAAGGTGAAGTGCACCCAGAGGGTGCCCCATGGGGAGGGGGTACTGTCAGGTTATACCTGCTGGGTTTTGCCGAATTAACCCACTTCCGGGTTCACTGAGCTTTGCCCCACCCCTTTTTCTGACGCAGTCTTCCCACGCTACATAGGAAGACCGTGCCAGATTCAAAGTGCTGGATTATTGAACAGGTGTCTGTGAAACTCTTACCGGCTACTCTATTTCAATTGAATCTACTCCGTGTACCAAAATTGCTCTGAAAACGGCTTCCCTCCTTCTCCACTCCTCGACCTCGGATTGTTAAACGGACTTCTTCTCCTTCCCCTAAGGAACTGATTAATTGATCTCTCCAGTTACCTAAAACTGCCTCATAAGCTAAGTACTATTTCCTTCAATCCAATTGCTCTGAGTTGCAAATAAGAAACTGCCTCTTAAGCTAAGTTTTTCTTCCTTCAATCCAATTGCTCTCAGTTACAAATAAGAACCTGCCTCATTGTTAAACTCGCCTGAAGCTAATTCTACTACAATTAATTCAAACTAATTCTGCATGCATTCTCTGCACTATCCTTAATTGGGACTGCTTGGTTTTGTGCAAAACTTCAGTGGCTTATTTTTTTCCTGCAACTAACAACCTGCTATAAGGGTTTAAAGCTACAGTATCCACTCCTGCAATTCAATAACAAAAAAGGATAAAATTATAAATTGATGTAATTAAAAAGTTTTCTGCAGTTGTGTTCCACTAGTTCAGCATTACAAATAGTGACATATAACTAACAACCACTGTCCTCCAGTCTCAAAAGTTTGTCTCAAAGGTGAAAAAAACTAATCAAATTTCAAAGTAATCTCGACATAACTCAAGACCTGAGCAGAAATCAGTAGCATGTTCAAAAGGCAATTTCCTCTTATTACAATGCAGGAAACCTCAATAGAAAGTGGAAGTAAAAAATAAAACTTTTTTCCTCTATTCGCTTTTCCCCCTTTCCCTTAAAAATAAATAAATAAAATAAAAGTAAGATCAAAGGCAACAAAAATACAGTCAAGGATATGAATTGCATCTTAAAGCAATATATCCGGCTGCTTGTAGATGGAAAAGTCGAAGAACAAAACTCTGTATGTTTGGACTTAGTGGCTTCAGAAATAGTGTTTGTCTCATGTAGTGTCTGGTTTACTCCTCTTGTTGGCATGCTCTGGAGTAGATGGTGAAAGCATGTGAGGCGGTACATGACGTCTGTTCATTGAATTAACAAGATCCATTCCTTCCTCCAGGCTACGTAATTATAAAATTCTGACCATGCATGCGGAAAAGCACTTTCACAGGAAATTCCCATCTATATCTTATCCCTCTCCAACGCAGCTCTGCCGTGAAAGATTGGAATTCCCTGCGGCATCTCATTGTGTGAGCGGAAAAGTCCTGAAAGACCTTCATCTCGTTGCAGTCCCCAGGGAGGCCAATTGTACGTACTACGCCCAAGAATTCCTCTTTTATGAGGTAATAATGGAATCTTACCATAACATCAATGGGTGCAGCCATGGGTGCATTGCTAGGCTTGGGCAGCCTATGGATGCATTCCAACAGTAGGTCAGAATTAGTGACAGTTGGCTTAACCGCCTTTACCATTTTCTGGAAATAGTTCGGTAACTCCACAAGGTTAATATTGTCAGGTATTCTCCTGATCCTTAAATTATTGCGCCTACTTCTGTCCTCAGCGTCTGCCAACTTCTCTGCCTGTTGATTCACCTGTCGCTGGAACATCTTTACCAAGTCAACCAACTCCAAGTGGGATTGCTCTTGGACATGTAACCTATTCTCCACCTCCTCGGTGCGCTGATTAATACCCTCCATGACTCCACAAATTGCTTCAAAATCTTTTTTTGACGTAATTTTGTAAATCCACTCGTAGGTTTTGAATAAGCTAAATTATCATTCCCGCTAATGGTTGTGGGGATATTTATGGGATGATAATATTAAACATTCGAGAATTGCCCACTATTTCAATTCTCTTAGATCATTGTTATCATGTAAGTGAAATGTATTCCATACAAATAAAATCACAATTTGTTATAAAAATAGATATAATTTATTGTGAGAAATAAAATAACAATAATATTAGGCAGCATGCATGATATTAATCAGTGAATATTTAGTATAACATAAGTATGCAATATAATGGCTAGACACATTACAAACTACAGCATCAACTGTCAAGACGAGATTAATGAGGTATTTTGCAGACACAGACTTCACACAGCCCAGCAAAAACCTTGGCTAACAGTTAAATCAACTGAGTAACCATTTCAATGCTGGCTAGATCCTCCTAGGCATATAGTATCCTATTCTCTTGTAATTTTCAATTAAAATAACATTTGAACCAGCTCATTAATCATTTCCTGGAACCATCCAATAAGAATAATCTACCAGCATCTATAAGCCAAATTTTAATTTGCCTAAAAAGATATCTTATCTTATTTAGAGCAAATCAATACACCTGGATAAAAACAGCGGTATGTTAACACGTGATACTATCACATTAATATATAATTATTCTTAATTCCACCTGCAGAATGGAATGTTTATAACTATATATTCTTTAGTTAACTAAGATTTCAAAATATTGAAATATTATCCAGTCATATATCATGCTATTAGTAAATTTGTAATTAATTTAAATTAATTAAATAAAACCAGCATAATTACCAGTTATATAGGTATTCTCATCAGATGAGTAGGTAGTCCCAGGAACATGCGAGTATGATTGGTTGTATGGAGGTGTGTGAGTAATAGAGAAAAGTGATGTTGGTTAGAAAGTATCAGTAAAATTCTAAGTGTCAAGGAGTGTTTCTTGAGTTGTGTCCAAGAGAATTTGATAGTTGAGTGTTAGTCCCAGAGTGTCATGGATCTCTCTGCATGTCCGAATCTGAATGCCCCAACTCTACCAACTAACCTCTCTCTTCCCTTTGTCCTAAATTTTAAAGGGCCAGACTCTCTGTTCGCCAATAGGAAACTGAGGGTGTGTTCAACCTGCAGATTGCAATTTAGGTATTTGATCCATAGAGGGCAGTCTCGCCTCACTAAACCTTCCTATCCAGGAAAGAGTTAACTTTTCCTGACGACTATTTTGACGTCATTTGGCTTATCTAAAATGACTACCATAACTTAAATTTGCTGTCAGTTCAAAGCGTTTGTCTCAGTCTTTGTGGCAACTACTTTGATCGTAATTTCTAAAATTGACAGTTCTAAACTCAATTTCACCCCTTACTTACAATGGGACCTTGTAAAATTTAGAATTATTTCTATTCCATTAACATTTAGACAGGGCCTTCTATCTGTCACGACAGTGACCCCTTCACACAGATGGTAACCCAGAAATGGACGTATACCGGACCTTAGGGTGGCCGGACTTAACGTCAGAGAATAGTCAAAAGAAAAGTCAAGATTTTATGGGGGGGCGTGGCCTGACACGGAGCTGAATGGACGTGCACTGATTCAGCTCCCTGAACAGCGAGGTGCAATCCAATACCATCGGAGGCCTGGAGGAAGTATGGGGAACCCCAAAAAACACGCAAATGCTCAGGGGGCATCCAGCAAGACGCCTACCGTGAAATCCAGCACCTTTACACGGTACTTTAAGGATGCGACGGCCCGCGAGGACGAGGCCGCAAATTCCAATATGGCGGCGGAATCGGCACCATCAAGCCCGGCACCATCAGAGGGCTCATGCGGTACCCTCACACAGGCAACTGATCCTGACATAAAGGATATGCTGAGGAACCTGCCCTCCAAAGCAGACATGGCCAATATGATTGGCAGATTAGAAGCAGCTCTGCAATCTAAAATCGACGCCATGGGCACAGACATACAGCAAGTAAGTCTTAAAGTTACAGACTTAGAAGAAGAAAAGGATGTAATGCAGGCCCAGATTGTAAATAATGCCTCCACATTAGAATCACAAGCTCTGACCCTGTCCTCTATGCAGAGGCAGCTAGATAACTTAGACAACAGGAGCAGGAGAAATAATCTGAGAATAAGAGGCCTTCCTGAAATGCAGGGGGAAGATTTGATGGCCACTTTGAAAGAATTATTTAATCTTATACTGGGGGACCCTGTGGATAACCCAATATTAATGGATAGAGCTCACAGATCACTGCGCCCTAGAGGAGCAACAGCTGAAGCCCCAAGGGATGTAATCTGCAGGCTCCATTACTTCTCAGTGAAGGACACCATTCTCAGGGCCCTCAGAGAAACATCCCAACCTCTTATGTACCGCGAAAATCAAATACAAATTTTTCCAGACCTATCGTGGTTTACGCTACAAGCGAGGCGAGCACTAAAACCAATCACAGAGCTATTACGCAACCGCAACATGAAATACAGGTGGGGATACCCATTCGCACTGATTGTTCACCACAAAGGAGTGATGCACTCCATAGCCTCTCATCTGGATGTAAAACCATTCCTGAGAGCTCTGGAACTGCCAAACACCAACATCCCGGATTGGTATGCACCTCAACCAAACCAAGATTCTTCTATACTACCCCAAAGACAAAGATGGACTACCCCTGCCAAGAAAAGAAGGACCGACCAAAGACCCTTCTCCCCCAGGAGCAGAATGATGGGGAACCAAAGGGATGATCCTCGCTAGGCTCTCCTCCCCACACCCTCCGTCTGCAGCAACATGATTGACTGGTGGAGGGATAGTACTGGTACAATTCTCGGGACATAGCCACAGTGACCAAGCATTGAGCTTTAAGATATGAGACCTCCAAGCCGCCCAAGATTTACACAGGAACAATGGACAAGATAAGGCGCAAGTCCACATCAAGGGTCGATAGGAAATATGCCTCCCGGGCTACACATCTCTTGTACCCAGGACCAGGGACTTAGCGCTCGGGACTGACTGGAACAGCCCCGCGAGGCGACAACTGATTATAAGGTTGGATATTACAGAACATGGAGGGAAAAAAAAAAAAAATTCACTGTAGGCCTTGAGATTGATGTTACTAGCAGAATTTAATTTTGACACCAACACCACGGATAGAAGTACCAGTATAAAAATGCATTGTTGTTTAGCCAGAGACGGATAGCATGGGGGACAGAAATAAGTAACAAACTATGTTCAACCTCTCCCCTGGGTTCCCTTCTTCCTTCCCTTTCTATCTTCCCCACCCTTCCCCCACCCTCCCTTCTATCCTCCCCCCCTCATCCAGAGCCTCCTACAAATTATGTACAAAGAACAATAGGATTGCAAGCCTCGGGTTCTAGTCAAACACCACACCCGCATAGTCACTGTTCTGCCTCTTGCACGGGGACAGAATACGAAACACGAGAGAATAACTTCAAGTGTGTTAGTTAGGATTACCTATAGTAAGTCCTCTAGCTACAAGAGGACAAGTGTCTGGGGACCCTCGTGGATCCTCAGAAGTTCATTATTTTGATATTATAATTTGATATTCTGTTTATATTGTTGCTGTTACTGTATAACTGTTGATTAATAAGTGAAAAGCAAACCCCCAATAATTGGGAACAAGATGACAGGTAGGGATACTCAGACGGGGATTCCACAAATTGGACCCACTAACCCTCAAATTCACGCATCCAACACAGAACAACCATTGACCCTACGTATACACTCCCAGAACGCCAAGGGGCTGAATACCCCAGAAAAAAGGTCACTCGCCCTCACAGATTTCCAGAGATATCACGCAGATATCGTTTTTGTACAAGAAACACATTTTCGCAAGAACCAGGCACCCTCACTTAGAAACCGCAAATACCCCACGGGTTATTTCAGTCACTATACTGCAGCTAAAGCAAGGGGAGTGGCGATTCTACTAGAGAGACAAGTTACGTTCACCCTTACAGGACAACTAAATGATGACGCAGGCAGGTACATTTTCATTAAAGGAAAATTAGGCAACACCAATATCACGCTAGCAAACCTCTATTTACCTAATAAAAAACAAAGTGTGGTCCTAAGAAAAATACTCCACAAACTGTGGGACTTTAAGGAAGGTCTATTAGTAGTGGGGGGGGACCTGAACATCTCATTGGACGGCCAACTAGACACATCTGCAACATCTAGCGCATACCTAGAGCCCACTCGTAGCCGAATACTCAATATCCTACATGAGACCAGATTGTATGACAGCTGGAGGGCAATGCATCCCACTGGTAGAGATTACTCATTCTACTCCACAACTTCCGGCACATATACTAGAATAGACATGTTGCTCCTGCCACATGCTAACCTCAACTTGATAAAATCAGCATCATATGGTCCTATCACATGGTCAGACCATGCCCCACTGACCCTAGATATAACGATACCCTTGCTAAACAGGGCCGCCCCACAATGGAAACTGAATGATCTTCTCCTAAATAAAGAGGAGGTCATAGAACAAATTAAAATAAGCGCACAGAGATACTTTGAAACCAATTCAAACCAGGACACTAGGCCAGAGGTGGTATGGGAAGCCCACAAATGCGTTCTTAGGGGAGAAATCATTAAAATAGCCTCAGCTCAGAAAAAGCTTAGGGAGGCCAATATAACATCTTTAACTCGGGAAATAAGAAATCTAGAGCTAAATCACAGTAAGGACACTACGATACAAGCTTACAACAATTTACTAGCTAAGAGGGCGGAACTCAAAACCATCCTCAATTTACAGGCCACCAGATCTGTGCAGAGGACCAAACACACATATTATACAAAAGGGGGCAAATGTGGGAAACTACTCGCGCAATCTCTACAACAACAAAGACAATCAACATTCATATCACACATTAAGCAACCAGATGGCTCAGTGACACAATTAATGCCAAAAATCATGTCAGCTTTCCACACCTATTACTCTTCCCTTCATAATATAAGGGACACAGTGCCCCCCATGGACAAGATAAAGGACTTTCTAGCCAGCCGAATAAACACTACTATCCCACGCAACTGGGCGGAATTTCTAGACAAACCCATCACTACGGCAGAATTCCATGATGTAGTTAAACAACTCCCACTAGGAAAGAGTCCTGGGCCCGATGGCTTTACAGGCAAATACTATAAGGTTACACAACAAACCCTAGCAGAACCCTTTGTGCGAGCATTTAACTCTTCACAAACCTCGAGTCAGGCACCACAAGAGACGTTAAATGCCACTATAACACTATTGCCCAAACCAGGCAAGGACCTTACAAACTGTGGAAGCTATAGACCAATTTCCCTAATGAATGTAGATCTAAAACTTTTCACCAAAATCCTGGCCAACCGACTGAAACCGCTTCTCCCTGACCTGATACACCAAGACCAAGCAGGGTTTGTGCTGGGGAGGGAGGCCAAAAACAACACTATGAAAATCATCAACATAATGCATTGGGCAAAAGTCAACAAGATTCAGAGTGTACTGCTGGCTATTGATGCGGAAAAGGCATTTGATAGGGTGGATTGGTCCCTCATGACGGCCACGATGGAACATCTGGGCTTTGGACCTAGGTGGCTGGAATGGTTGGGGAGACTATATTCCACACCAACTGCCCGAATACGCATCAATGGCCAGCTCTCAGAAACGATATATATTAGGAACGGGACCAGACAGGGATGTCCACTCTCCCCATTGATCTTTATCCTTGTGTTAGAACCATTCATTCAGGGAATACGAAATAACCCACTTATACACGGCATCACAATAGGAAATATAGATTACAAAGTCTCTGCTTTTGCAGACGACTTGCTATTCACGATCTCTAAACCACTACACTCTATTCCGCATATCCTGGAGGAAATGAGTGCTTACAGTGATGTCTCGAACTTCCAAGCAAACCTCACAAAATGTGAGATCCTACCGCTGTACACAACCATAGATACAGATAAGTACATACAGAAAAAATTCAATTTTACATGGACAACGACATCCATAAAATATCTCGGAATTCACCTACCATTTCAACTAAAAAATCTCTATGACTTAAACTACACACCACTACTAGAAGCCGTCTCCAAAGATTTTAAGGCTTGGAATAAACCATCCTACGGATGGTTTTGTAGAATAAGCATCATAAAAATGATGATACTGCCACGCATCCTCTATACATTACAAACAGTCCCCATAAAGCTGCCAGTTAGCTTCTTCTCGGCAATCAGAGGGGCGTTAACATCCTTCATCTGGTCACAAGCCAAACCTAGATTACCACTACGACTCTTAACTCAACCAAGGGAGAAAGGGGGAATGGGCATTCCTGATATAGAACAATACTATAATGCAGTGCACTTGTCAAGGATATATGAGTGGACGAAAGAAAAACCCTCCCAGCAGTGGGTAAACATAGAGAGGGAACAATGCCTAGCACCCCTTGAATCACTTCCATGGCACAAACTGAACACCGCACTAATCAAACATAAAAAACACCCACTCATCTTAGCTACAATACAGACCTGGTCAAAGGTAAATAATTCCACAAAGATAGCACTATACCCATCACCACGATACCATATTACGCGTAACCCACTGATGCCATCAGGTATCACAGGTAGAACTTACGAGATTCACCGAGGGGCCGCAAACATAACTCTCCGGGACATGACCAGGGGTAATGCATTACTAACACTGCAAGATCTAACTCTCGGCCGTCCCCCCACGAGCATGCAACAAATACGTTATGCACAATTAAAACACTTCATGGGGAGCCAGGGGCTACTACCAGGGGGAAACAGAGAATTGTCAACCTTTGAACAGCTGTGTACAACACATCCGTTAAAAAAGAAATTGTTATCTACAATGTACAAATTAATGTTACACTCAGACAAAACAGATATTCCTGTTTTCGCCACTAAGTGGACGAGAGAAATGAATTTAGACATTTCAGGGGAGCAATGGA